ATTAAAGTATAGCGACCAAAGTTGGTCGGTAAATGCTTCCCTTATATTAACCGACCAACTTTGACCTGTAATTTTAAATAGGATTTCTTTATATTTTATAAAATATTTTAAATAATAATATTAACTATTAAAATTTTATAACTGGGTTTCACATTACCGACCAAAGTTGAACGGTAATGTGAAATTTTCTTTGACTAAACAAGTCTTACCAGCTCGGATGTTGACCTCTTTACCGACTAACTTTGGTCGATAATTTATTTAAAATAAATATAAAATATTTTTCTCCCTATTTCCGACCAACTTTGATCGCTTTTTTAGACAGACCAATTTTGATCGCAAAATTTTGGTCGTTAATTACCGTATTTCTAGCAGTGAAAGGATCCCCATTTATTACAAAAGTCAGTTTATTAAGTGACGAATATTTGACAATTTGGCCGGCAGCTATGAGCATTGGAACCTGGAATGAGTCAATAATCTATTAAAATTATTGTATTTAACTCTTGGGAGTTGGGAAGTAAAATAGGACAATAATTTTTAAAATTGACGAGAGCTCTACTAATATATATTTTTCGAAAAAATGAGGAGTATATTATAATTTAAGTCGCATATCATGTGGGGTTAGTCAGACCTAAACTTAAGTTACTATACCTAAAGGATTAAATAATTAACATGTACTTATTTATTTACTTGTTGATATTCCCACATCAACGGTTTGTATCACTCTTCATTCTTCACCATTTAAGTCTTATTCTTTCTGAATTTCGATTTCTCTAGTCCAAAAGCATAGCAATTAATCTCTCTATTGCCAGGTGAGATTTCTTTTTAGGTTTTTACAGTTCCACTTCTTTTTTGTTATTTTACATTTTTATGTCTTTTTCATGCTGTGATGTGAATCATTTCCTCTGAAAATGACAATGGCATTTATTAACTGCATCTACCAAATTAATTTTGGATCTTTCCAAAGAAATAACACGATAAAGAAGATACTAAAAGTAGCTAAATTTCATAGTTTATGATCCAAATTCTGATAAATTCATTTCCCACCAGTAAGGAAGAAAGTGTATTTATAATTTTAGCTTTCCTCTCCAAGTTAAGTACTTTCTAACTTCATCGATCTTCCTAACTTTTTTGTTTGCTTTTGATATGTTATAGTTTTGTCGTCGAAGTTAAAAGAACAACAAGAAATATTGACCTCTGTTTTTGTTTTTTCATTCGAATATTTATTTATTTCTGTGCAGAAATCGCATAATTTTATATTTGCATATTGTTGAATATTGAGCTCAAACATTGCTTCGTAATACATCACGATAATTTCGGGAATAGAGATCAATGCAATAATGGTTATAACTAATCGATCAAAGTTTGTTTAGGTCAAAATGAGTCGAGTCAAGATGGGTCAAATAACAGGTCATATTTAATATGACCCAACATCACTTCTTTTTATTTTACTTTTAGAAGAATAAGGTGAAGGTCAATGTATTTTTCTTTGATTATTATCTTAAGTTCTTTCATTATTACATCATTCTCAATTTCCAAATTTGATTGTATATTTAAATATGAATTGCATTTTGATCCATCAGGTTTAAATTTGACCCAATAATAACTCCTCGTGTCAATTCAACTAAGGCGTTATTACCCAAGCCATTTAAACATGGATGAATTTGGCGGGTTACTAAAGTAGGTTTATTTTTATCACTTCTATCTTCAACCTATTTGTCCCAATGGTATACTCCAGTGACTGAAACAGAACATCGCGGATCCAGAATTTAAGGTTTATGGGTTCCTACCGTAATTTTAAATTAATATGCAATAATAATCGGGTTCACAATTACATATTTATAAATATTTAGTGAATTTCTTAATATAAATACAAGGTCTACGCAAGAGTTACTGAGTTCCCGGGAACTAGACATGTTAAATGGGACCCGACCCGGAACCGAACTCATTGACTCTTGGCCCGTGGGTCCTTAACCGGGCCGGGCCGGTTCACTTTATTATATGGGCCGGTCCGGATTTGATCCATTAATCAAAACATATTGACCCGACCCGGACCTGTAACCCCTAATTCCTTAACCCGGACCCTAATGGGCCGAATCCAATTTAATTTAAAAAAGTTAAAAACTAATGAGTGATAAAAATTTCAAACTTTATACATATATACGAATTTGAAATTACTACATCTCCTTGAGCCAGTTAAAATAAAAATGAAAGAAAAATCATACTTTATTAACTTTAAGACTTGAGAAACATATAGAATTCGACTATTTCTATAACTAGTAGTCTAAACCATATGGAATTCGACTATTTCGACATGACGCCTCATAGTGTTTGGTACTATATTCTTTCTTTAATGTTTGGATTCAATTTTTTACCACTTGTCTGAATATATATATGTGTGAGCTGGTCCGGGTCGGTTGACCTGTGGGTCAGCTACCGGTTCTGGTCCGGTTCGGTTCAGTGGGTCAAAATATTATACTCAATTATAGGTTGACCGGGAATCCATACTCAATGCTCTAGGTTCGCCCCTGCATCCAATAGAGGTTAACGTGTGGTGTTATAATTAAGATTTTGGAGGTTTACTCCTTTTATTCATCTTCATTATATATTGGTGGCCTTTAGACTCATAAAACGTTATGTGGCATTACTTTTTTATTATTTTTGGTTTGGGTTCTTTCTCTAAATTAAGAAGATTGTTAATTTTGTTTTGATTTATTGTATGGAAGGTGACAGAGCTATTAACTCTAAGGCAGTTGGTTTATAGTTTACACAATTGTGAAAGATACCAATTAGCTGTAGTTTTCAACAATTGACATGGACGTTGTTGAGACTTGTGAAGAAGAAACGCTTTGTTCTGGAACGCCTTCAACCAAACGTAGTCTCCCATCAATTGAGGAGGAAGTTGTGGGGTTTGAGAAAGATGCAGAAAGTATAATAAAGAAAATGATTCAAGGAACAAAGGAGCTAGATGTTATCTCAATCTATGGAATGCCAGGTCACGGAAAAACAACTTTGGCCAGGAAAGTGTACAACAATCCTTCTATTGTTAATTACTTTGATGTTAAAGCTTGGTGTTCTGTTTCGCAAGCATATTATAGGATAAAGTTGTTGGGTGAGATTTTCAATCAAGTAACAGGTTATAAGAGCGAAATTGATGATGATGTTGACATAGCTGACAAGTTGCAGAAGACTCTAAAAGGCAGGAGATACCTCATTGTCTTAGATGATATATGGAAAGTCGAGGCGTGGGAAGACCTGGGATTATGTTTCCCTAAAGGCGAAGATGGAAGTAGAGTAATGGTAACAACTCGAATTGAAGAAGTGGCTAAGCATCTCCAGCACTGCAGTGATCCTTATTCTCTTAGATTTCTAACATTGGAAGAGAGTTGGGAATTATTACAGAAGAAAGTATTTCAAGGCGAGAGTTGTCCCCCGAATCTACAGGGACCAGGGTTAAAAGTTGCCCAACACTGCAAAGGTTTGCCGCTTGTAATTGTCCTGATTGCTGGAATTATTGGAAAAATGGAAAGGCAGGAGTCTTTGTGGCTTGAGGTTGCAAATGACTTAAGTTCTCATGCTTTAGATGAGCAGAGTATGAATGTAATACAATCAAGTTACGACCATTTAGAAGACCACTTAAAGCCTTGCCTTCTTTACATGGGATTGTTTCCGGAAGACTTTAAGATTCCAGTATATGATTTGCTGAAGTTGTGGATGGCAGAAGAGTTTGTACTCAATGTCGAGACAGAAAATATGGAGGAAGCAGCTAGAGTTTGCTTAAATGATCTACTTAATAGAAGTCTAGT